TGACTCCACTCCTCCCACACCTGAGGGCGAATGAAGCTCAGACATCCAGGGTACAGGGCTTTGAAGCTGCCATCCCTGGGACTCCACAGAGACAGGTAAAAAGAAATGAAGACACTCCAAGGTGAGAAGGCACAGCCTCCCCAGAGTCAGCGTAATACAGGTGGGGGGAGGGAGGTCGCCTGAAATCCGAGTGAGGCAGACAGCCAGACACACCCAAAGTCTGTAAGATCAAACCAGAGTGCTTGCACATTACTCTTTGTTCACTTATTCCAAGGGGTCCCAACTTTTTCCAGGGTGCATACCACCTTAATGTTCCAAAACTTCTAAGGCTCCTTTCACACACCTAGACACCCAGATTTGATAGGGAGCTAGTTAAAGAACTAGCTTGCTTTACAGAAACCCAAAAGTGACCTGAAATACTCCAGAACCCAACTTCCTTTCCTAACAGAAGTCCTGAGTTGAGTGGCCTGAGGATGACCAAAGAATCTCCCCTTCTCATTTTCCATCCCAGTCCTGTGTGTCACCTTGGTTCTTTACCTTTTGTTTATTGCTATTCCCCATTCCATGGGAAACTACCTAATGGATTCCATTTACCAGCTTGAAGTGTTCTTCCAACCAGAAAGTGTTCTCTGTGCACGCGTTAAATGCGGTCTTATACCTCACTGTTTGCAGCATAGTGCCACAGTCACACACCCTAAGCTCCGCTGTGTCCAGTAGCTCTGTATCTCTTTATCTCAGGGCTTCAGCATAGAGCCTCCCACCCCCATTTGACCTTCCACCTCCCCCACTGAGGGGCACTGGCACTCCTCCTGCCTACCCCAAGACAATGGTGCAGAGGATACCTAAGTGTGCATCCCCCTGTGGGCCTGGAGAAGACTAATACTACCTGGGAGTGGGTCACTGGGTCCAGGGTCACGACACCCCAATCTGATGACAGCTGGCAGCAGTGCTGAAGAACTCAGCAGCACTACAGGTAACAACACGTGGTAGCTTTCCCATCTCCATCAACTCAAGTCTGTTATTATGCTTGTGGGCATGTGATTTCTCTGCTACAAAAACTAAGGAGTTTGAGCATCTCCTCCTGGGTTGCTGAGCTCTCCGGCTCCTCTTGCACACTTGCTTGTCCACATCTCTGCTGTTTTAACTCCAGGCACTTTTGGCTCTTCATGAATTTGCAGGAACTCCTTGCAGTTTGGGCACAAACCACGTTGGTCTGGACACTGCAAACATCTACTCCTCCTGTCTGTATTAACTCTAGCCATGGGACACTTGGTTGAACGGAGGAGGCATATTTATAAGACCAAACAGCTCACCTGAGGAAACTATTTCCAGCACCAGATAGTCCCCAGCCTGTCAGTTGGCAGCAGAAAAGCAATGGCAGCATTCTCGTCAAACCGCTGTGGGTAGTCCCACTGTGTTCCTTGACCCACTGCCCCATGGCAGGACAGAGAGAGGGGGGCATTCTACCAACAATGGCAAGAATGGGCATCAATCCACAGGTCTGCACAGAGCTCTGCCCCTGTGCAGGACTGGAAGTAGCCATGACGCCTACCCCACCCTCTCCAGCAGCTCATATCCCGGGAAAAATCTACTTCTGCATCAAGAGACTGTCAGCAGCCTAGCTTCCCCTGAGTTCTCTTGGACATGAAAATCAGGTTGGGACCCCCCTGTGCCCATGTCATGTGGCAGAACCAGTTCCACTGCACTGCTCCCCATGCTGGCACCCCCCACTTCCACCTTTCTGGTAACTAACATGGACCTGGATCACCTCCAACCTCCCGATGCTGCAAATGATTCAGTATCCATCCTGTGCATGTTCCCTCATAGAACCATGCTGGCATCTTTTTGGCACACCGACCCAAGGCTGGAATTGCCAAGTCATATGGAAGCAAACACAGTGGAGTCAACCTGGAAGTCACTTCTGAGCCCTGACAGATATACCTGTGGGCCTGGGCCACACTGGTGGTCTGACCTTTTGATGTGTAGCAGGAGTTTTGGGTCCTGTAACTCCATCTCCTCTGGGGCTGCAGGAGAGACCAGCCAGGCTGAGTGTCAGCATGTAGATGCAATGGACCCGATGAAGGCTACAAACACCAAGTCAAGTAGCCTACCCACCTCCCACAAGCCATGCTTCATCCGACTGGTCACACAGATGCTGGAAGTGACTGTCCTGACTCCACAAGACAACGCAACTGGCACCTTCCCTGATGTGTTTCCCCTTGGCTTGATGTTAACCTGTCTCCTCTTCCAGTGATAAACCTTCACCGTGAGCACGAGGGCCTTCAGTGAGCTCTAGGAGATTTTCTAGCAAATTACCCAGCCTGAAGAGGCACTAGTTCCCTCTAAGTTCTTGGCTGGCCTGATTCTCTTTGGTTTAGTCGTTCAGTTTAACCCTCTCAGGCTGCTCTCCCAAAGGGCAGCAGCACCTCTTGGGCAACTCCCCACTCAAGCTTGAGGTCATCCTAACAGCTGGGGCAGTACCCCACTGGCCTTTTCACATGCAAGTCTCTCTGTATCAGAGTGCAAGTATCCCCTCTTATTTTGTCGTCATCAATCTGATGAAATAATTCAACTAAAAGTGTGAAAACAACCCTCAGCATTTCCCTCTGCTCCCCTTGGACAAAGGATCCTGACCTGAAAACAGGCCACAGGTCCTAACTATCCATGACTTTCCTATTAAAGCTCTAAGAATTAAAAGGAAAGGGATCTAGGTATTGAATGAATAAATGAATTTCTTTGAAATGTGCTCCCTACCATTTGGCAGACAAAACTTTTCTTGTCCACCTAGCCTGGGTTTCCCTTCACTCATGCCTCTGCACTGACCTCAGATATGCAAAGCCAGACATGGTCCTGAACCAGTCAAATGAACCTGGGTTGAGGAAAAGCCATACGTTCACTGGGACCCTACTCAACCATGTCCTCGAGGGCAGGAGCATGCAAAGATCCTCCTCCACTGTGAGGTTCCCAGAAATACCATTTCAGCCAAGAAAGATGAGGGGACCAGCCATGGAGACGTCTGGAAAAGGAACATTATTCCAGAGAACGCAGGACCCACAGCAGAGAGGCCACTGTGGCCAGTGAGCAGGGAGCAGGGGTGAGGGCTGACTTCAGGGAGGAAATGGCAGGGGTTGGCTGTACAGTCCAGCGAACAGCACAGAGCTTCGGACATTCAGAGGGACTGCTACGCACAAAGTCAAAATCTCACCAGAGTCAACGGCCATCTGTGCTGCAGGGTTATTTGGCCAAGGTTCTAGGGCTTGCCAAGAGGATGAACCTGTCTCTCCTATTCAAAACCAGGCAGCTTTGTCTACCCTCTGCTTGTCATTCCTATGTAGACATTGTGTGAGAGAAATGGAGAGGTGGTCAGCGGGCTGAGAATTCTACCCACACACCGTTACAGAGAAACTAGACCCATGCTGGTGTTGGACCTCCTCTCTCTCCCCAGCACTGGCAGCCCAGGGGCTACCACTTTTCTGGACTGCACACCAGCCCTCTATCAGTCCTGAGGCAGTCAACTTCGAGGAAAATGGGCAGGCCTCCCAGCAGATCCCTGCAGAGAAAAACAGGCAGCTGGATCTCCAGTCATGGGAAACTGGGGCAGCACCCCAATTTCACGCAGCAGAAGCAGGAGGTGGAGGGCTCCTCAGAGACAAGTCCAACCCACAGAAGCCCCCAACGTGGCACAGGCAGACGCGGTGCCTCCTTGGAGACTGGCCAGGGTGTGGGGAGGACAGATGAGGAGGGATGTCAAGCAAACTGGCTGCAGCAAGCTCTCTTCAGTAGGCTCTGAGTGCAGGCTGCCAGCCAGGCAGGCAGCCCACCCCCAAGCTCACACAAACACAAAGGCCCAGGTCTCAGAGGGTTCATCCAGAAAGGGGCCACTGATCACAAATCTGCACTTGCGGGAACAACTCATAGCCTCAACCACCACCCTAAACGCCTGTCTTTGTCAATTCTCACACCCCTTGATCTTGTCACTCTGTGCTACATTTTTATCACTTGAAGGAATCTACACAATGACACTAAATAAGGAGTTTTGCTAAATTCATCCAGCAGAGGAAATACGAAGGGAAGTCAGAGGTGCAGGGAAAATGACATATCAAGGTGAGGTCTGGGGATGGCCTGACCCTGACATCGCTCCTGCTGCCCCAGGAAAAATTCCTGGGTCAGTGAGGGGCAGACAAGGCAGATAGAAGGTGATGCTAAGACAGTTTCCTGGGAAACCACTGGCATCCAAGGGATGGAAGATGGAAAAGAGAGATGAGAACAGGTTGAGGAGATACACTAAGAGGCAGAGAAGAGATACAGCCTGAAAGACATGCCAGCAAGGGGCTCCACTGTTCCTGAACACCCCGGTTCTCGTGTTTCTGTGGACAGATGCTGAGCCATAGTGGGTGTAGGTTTGTGCAACATACACTGTTCAAGGACCTCAAGCAGATGTGACAAGTCTGATCGGCCCACCATCCCCACCCAGGCACACTGAACGTTCCTTTCCCTTGACAGTCACCTCAAATTTCACCTTAACTGCTGTGCCCTGCATGGGTGTGGGTCTGTGGGCCTGGGCGTGCATGACTGGTGGAGCAGCCCCATCACGAAGCAGGTCTGCACAGCCCAAGCCTCCTGAAGATGACGACCACAGCCTATGGAGATCTCGGCAACTCTGATGAGACTTGGGGCAACGAAAAGAACTTTATGGAGTCAGGATACACTGGGGTTAACTTACCCCCAATACAGATCTCTACAGTGAAATGTTTACAGCCTGGAAACATGAACACCCAGAGGAAAAGGGAACACAAACATTCTGCGGCAGACCACTGTCGTCAGCAACCCCAGGTGGGCATCTCGAGCTCACAGTCCACATATTCACCTAGGAGAAGACACGCAGGGCTGGGGGTGTCTTGGAGGATGGCAAGGGGTCCGGAAGGAGGCAGAGGGAGGAGCTGCCTCAGGCCAGGGATGGTTAACAGCTTCCTCCGCCTGCTGCCTGGGCAAGCAGCACTTCACTGCACAGGGAGAGAGGGGAACGAGTGAGTGAGTTTCTATCCTAGAAGCCAGATGACTGCAGAATCCAGCCCCACCAGACCCTCGTGTCTCTTCACCCACAGTCAGCACCCACTCGGCGCTGAGTAACCACTATTACCAGAGGCAAAACGGCACCTCTCGGCTCAGAGGAGGGAAGGACAGCGGCTACCGGTTCCAGGATCAGACTCAAGGGTTGCAAAGAGCCCTGAATCCCCAGTTTTAGGCAAGGCTTTAGGGCAGAGTAAGGAGGACATTCAGGATGAGGGCATGGCAACCACCACCGTCCCCAAGATCCCTGCCTCTTCTGACCTCATGGCCAGCTACTACCCGTAGAGCCCAAGGACAGGGTAGGGGCCCAGTACTTCAATATTGGAATGCAAGCGCTCCCTCTTTGCAAATGTGGGGGGAAGCCAGAATGTCCTGGATTACTCATTCCTGAAATTCAGCCCTAAATGGAAGCCAGGCAGTGCTGGTCCGAAGGTTTCTCTCTTGATAAGCTACCCTCTTGCCAATTCTCGAATCTGCATCCCCTCTGCCCTCCCCTGACCACCAGGACTGGGTGCCCACCTGGAGCAGCATACTGAGACCCAGGCTGCGGTGCCTCCTCTCCAGCTCCGACACAGCCTGCAGCAGAGACCTGAACCTCTCCGCTGGGTCCTCGTCCTCGTCCTCCGGGGACCCTTCTTCTTTCTCTGCTTCCCGTAGGAATCGCCCCTCCTCCTCGGCAAAGAAGGCCCGAAGCTTCTTATAGTCAGTCAGCGCCTTCTTCCTCCGGTCCATCACGTGTCCCTACAGGATGGGCGGGCAGCAGGAATACCCGCGTCCTCAGGCTACCCCGAGAGCCCACCCATCCACCACTGACACCTCCAGGGAGGAGCGGTCCCTGACCGTCTGACTGTACAGTGATCAGCGGTGGTCCAAGGCCCTGCCCAACAGGGTCAGCGTGCACATCCCTGTTTCCTCGTTCACGCGGACTCGAACCGCACCCCACTTGCCTTCCACACAGCAGCAGCGGACTCAGCCTGGCCATGCAGATCCCGAGCATCATTCAGATCTTTCTTCATGATCTCCACAGACCCCTTGTTCTCCTGGAGAAAGACGCTGGTTATGGGGTGTGGTCACTTCTGAAAGTCTGGGGCCCACCTAAGCCCAGTCCAGAGGGCCATCACACTACTAGAATTCTGTCAGGCAGTCCAGAGGCCCAGGTTCATGATCTTAGCCCATCAGACACCTCAAAACTGTGCAGGCTGCAGAAAGGGTCTTGGTGACCCACTATGCTGTCTATAGTCTGATAGAAATCTTTGTGCTAAGAATCCAACAGAGTAACTACACAAGACTATTCATTGAAGACTCTCGTGTTACTGTCTCCAGCAGAGGGACGGAGGGTGGCCCCCTTTAGGGTGACCGTGGGCACACACACGGCCTGCCCAGCTCCATGCACTGACTGGGTGGGTGGGGTCCTTCACCAGGAAGAGTCCAACTCCAGTCCCCTGGCCACATGCTCTAACCCCAAGGAAGCCCCTGGATGCAACATCCCACTGCTTGAGAAGACCCCAGGACCCAATCCCTGACACATGAACCCTCAAACAGGCTACTCTCTCCCCTCAGGTTGGTAGGCACCACACTGACTCTTTCCACTGCAGGGGCCTGGCTGTCTTTATTCTCTCAGAAATAACGCTGCACTCCCCACCCCCACCCCCCCAAACACACACACACACCAGCAGGTCCCTGGGATTACCAGCCCTCAGCTGTGACCAGACTCCAATGGCAGGTTCTGACCCAGAGCCAAGTGCCACATGTAAACAGTTGAGAGCACAGTGGAGAAGGTTCCAGAAGAGTGGATGAAGGGACTCAAGAGGGCTCAGAGCAGGTGAGAAGACCGAATGGGAGAGGGGTGCACAGGACCAGAGAGGGGCAGTGCCCTCAGGCCACACCCCCGCTCCAGTACTCTTGCCTGGGAAATTCCATGGACAAAGGAGCCTGGCACGCGACAGTCCGTGGGGTCGCAGTCGGACAGGACTGAGCGACCACTACACCCACGAAGAGGACTGCCCGTGGGGGTGGGGCTACCGCAGCATGACGTCATGCCAGGAGGCAGGGCAGTGACACCACGGGGGGCTGGGCACGGGGGCCCCCAGCAGGGCTCTCTTTGCCAAGGGGGGCGGGGCAGGGCAGTTCCACACTGGGAAAGTCACGCGGGTACGGGGAGGGGGGCAGGGAGGCGGAGGGAGAGAGAGGAGGAGAAAGTGCCCCGTCCAGGCGTGGGAACGGGGGACAGGGCCCCGTCCTGCGAGGGGAGAAAGGGTACTGGGCACCAGAGGAAGGAAAGGGCGCAGGTCACTATCTGGGGTATGGGGAGGGCAGCTGGCACATCGTCCAGAGGATGGAGACTGGGGGCCAGGGCGCCATCCAGAGAATGCGGACGGGGACAGGGCGCAGTCTGGTGATGAAAAGAGGGACAGGGCACCCTCCGGGGAAGGGCACCTTGCCGCGCAGCGCCTTCCTCCAGCGGGGCTCCCACTCGGGTGGCTCGGGCCCCGCGGCCATGCGGCAAGCTGCGCACAGCGGGCCCCCGTCGGCGCGGCAGAGCAGCTGCAGCGCCGCCTCCGAGGCCGGGCCGTCGCGCGTGGGCGCCGCAGCTGCCTCCTCGAGCGCCAGCAGGCGGCGGCTGAGCGGCGGGCGGCCGGGCTCCACGGCGCGCTGCCAGCAGTCGTCGGCGCACTCTGGGCACGGGAAGGGCCCGTCTTCCTCCGCCCAGAATCGCACCACGCACGCCCGGCAAAAGCGATGGCCGCAGTCGGCGCGCACCGGGTCGCGGGGCGCACTCTGGCACAGGGCGCAGGCGGCCTCGCCGGGGCCCGCGGGGAGCGCCAGGGCGGCAGCGGCGGGGCCCTAGAGGGCTCAGACAGGGATGCGAACAGGGGCGCACTGGTGGCTGGGAGAGCTGGGGACCCGGACGCACTAAAAGCGCTGCCGGAGAGCCAGGGACAGGAATGCGTTGATAGAGGTGGAGCGCAGGGACAGAAGACAAGAAATGGCGACTGGAATGGCTGGGCGCCCGGCGCAGGGTCCTGGCAGGGGTGTTCTCCACGCAAGGTCCCGGCAGCGGTGTACCACAGCCTCCCGGGTCTTGGCAGAGGCCGCGCCACTCTGCCAAGGTCCTGGCAGCGGTGTACACTCAGTCCGGCTCAGCTAGCAGAGATGCACTTCGCTCCGACCCACGTCCTCGCACGCCGGAATCTTACAGAGGTTTCACTTCTCCCATGAATGACTCTTATGCGAAAAGGAAGCAGTTTCATTTGAAAACTCCGTTAAAAAACGTTTTTTGCAAGCTGCTAGGACCTGATCTGCTAGCACCTCCTTGCAGCGCAGTGCTAACGCGGGGTGGGGACTGGGCTGGAAAACCGCAGCGTGGGACCTCTTGCGTGCAACCCCTCGCGTCAAATCGTTCTGTACGCACCGAGCTGCGTGGGCTTTTCCCGTGTGCGCAGGTTAGACGTGAACTCTCAGGGGAGCACGTCCTGTGAGGGCCATCCTGAAAGAATCCAGGAACAGCCCGCGAAGGAATGATTACAGCCTGGAAACATGAACACCCAGAGGAAAAGGGAACACAAACATTCTGCTGCAGACCACTGTCGTCAGCAACCCCAGGTGGGCATCTCGAGTTCACAGTCCACATATTCCATGCTTTTCCTTCATTTCTGCACTCCATCATGTTAAATCCTGCCCCAAGGCCACAGAAGTGAAGCCCAGAACCAAGTTCACCTCAGAAGCTGACTGAGCCCCTCTGCAACCATTGTCAAAAGCCTGCCTGATCGTCACCGTCAGGCTTCCTGACCCCAAATCAGGCAAAAATGCCCGGCCCGGTAGTCACCTTATAGCTCCCTAACCAATCACTTAATGCCAGCCTTCCAGCAGGAATTTTGTTGTGAGGCTATAAAAATTGGCTACTCACACAGGAAAACTGTCAGCTCTCCCTGGTCTGTCGAGGTCGGCCCACCGTGGTCACAGTACCCACATTACCTCTGCTCTTTGTTCTTAATGAACTGAATGAAATAAACGTAATAAAATAAATGAAATCCCTTCTGAAATGCTCTGTCTGGGAATTCTTTTCCAACCAGCGCTTGGACTTCCTCAACACATCACTTCCCTAATTAGAGCCTGAGTCTGCTCTTCAGAACTCAGAGAAGACCTAGGATACTAAAGCCTTTTTCTACAAACAAGAAACGGGGGACATGGAGGGGCCTCCTACTGGGTTTCAATCAAAAGAAAACTCTGATTTTGCAGATATTGCTTCTGGGAGACAATGTAGCAATGTGTTTTAAGAATCTTCGATTTTTCATAACCTTTGGAATACCTTTTCTCAAAATATGTTCTATAAAAATAACCTCAAATGGAAATAAATCCTCCTATCATTTGGTTTGATTTGGAGAAATGATTGTCATGTCAATATTTAGGAGGGATGGAATCTTGAAGTGCAACAATGGGGAATGACTCAGCAAATTGTACTAGCCATCAATTTGAAAAGGTATGAAAGAGTTTTGGGAATGAGGAATGGCAAACAGTATTATAATCCATCTATGATCTGCTCCCAGTTTCAATGTGTGGATTTTTCCCCACAGCAGGCAATTCTCTGTGTTTACAATTTAACATAATTTTGACAGTATCTGGAGACAGCATCACCAGATCAGTTCGGTTCAGTCATTCAGTCGTGTCCAACTCTTTGACACCCCATGGACTGCAGCATACCAGGCTTCCTTGTCCTTCACCATCTCCCAGAGTTTGCTCAGACTCATGTCTATTGAGTCGCTGATGCCATCCAACCATCTCATCCTTTGCTACCACCTTCTCCTCCTGCCTTCAATCTTTCCCACCATCAAGGTCTTTTCCAAGGAGTCTGTTCTTCACATCAGGGTCCAAAGTACTGGAGTTTCAGCTTCAGCATCAGTCCTTCCAATTCAGGGTTGACTTCCTTTAGGATTGACAGGTTTGATCTCCTTGCTGTCCAAGGAACTGTCAAGAGTCCTCCAGCACCACAATTCAAAAGCATCAATTCTTCAGTCCTCAGCCTTCTTTATGGTCCATCATCTCTCAAATCTTTTGACTATATAGACCTTTGTCAGCAAAGTGATGTCTGCTTTTTAATGTGCTGTCTAGGTTTGTCATAGCTTTTCTTCCAAGGAGCAAGCGTCTTTTAATTTCATGGCTGCGGTCACCATCTGCAGTGATTTTGGAGCCCAAGAAAATAAAGTCTGTCACTGTTTCCATTGTTTCCCCATCTATTTGCCACGAATCTTAGTTTTTTGCATGTTGAGTTTTAAGTCAGCTTTTTCACTCTCCTCTTTCATCAAGAGGCTCTTTAGTTCCTCTTCCGTTTCTGCCATCAGGGTAGTGTATCTGCATATCTGAGGTTACTGATATTTCTCCTGGCAATCTTGATTGCAGCGTGTGCTTCATCCAGCCCGGCACTTCGCATGATGTACTCTGCATATAAGTTAAATAAGCAGGGTGAGAATATACATCCTTGACGTACTCCTTTCCCAATTTGGAACCAGTCCATCGTTTCATGTCCTAGTCTAGCTGTTGCTTCTTGACCTGCATACGGATTTCTCAGGAGATTTGGTATTCTCATCTCTTTAAGAATTTTCCACAGTTTGTTGTGATCCACACAGAAATAACTACATGTCAAAATGTGTGGGACCCAATAAGCCATACTTAAAGGAAATGTTTCTTTAAACTTATTTCTGGGTGTGGGGATGGGGGAGAAAGAACTAACCAGAGAAGAACTAATCATTTGTTATGGGTTGAATTGAGTCCAGCAGAAAAGATAAAAGAAGTGTTGAAGTTTGCTAACCTGAAACAAGCGTGAATTTATTTGGGATCAGCAGAGAATTGCAACTTGGGGTCTGCAACCGTGGCAAGCCACATTCATATTTCCATAGGGCAAAGGAAGAACACTTTTATGAAGAGGAAAAGTTGGGAGGGCTCCAGTAAACAGAGTCCATGTCTTCATTGGCTGAGCCCTTGCCTAAAAAGAGGAGCATTCTTCTCCCTATTGGGCTCTGTTACCATTGCAGCACAGGAAAGCTCCCCCTTCTGGTCTCCAAACTCTACTTAGGAAATGCGGCAGGTACGCGGCAGGAATCTGCAAGGCCTTCCCTGCAGACAGACTCCTAGGCTTCCACCTAGTTCCAAACAACAAACTTAATCAGAGAAATGAGAAAATGCAAAAACAAAGGAAAACAGTCAAACAAGACAAAATAGTTTAGCCATAAAACAAAGTCAAGAAACTTCAGTTCCTTCCCAAGACCAGGTTGTCTATGCTTCTGACTCACTGACTATATATAGATCAGGTTTCCATACCCTCCTCCTCAGTTCCATTAATTTGCCGGAGTGGCTCACAGAACACAGAACACATCACCAGTTTATTATAAAAGCATGTAACCTGGAAACAACCTAGTGAAAGAGCTGCATAGGGCAAGATAAGGGGAAAGCGTGCAGAGCTTTCATATTCTCTCTGGGCACATCACTCTCTCCAAACCTCTAGACATTCACTGACCTGAAATCTCTCCAAACCCCATCCTTTTGAGCTTTTATGGAAGCTTCATTACATAGCCATGATTGATTAAATTATTGGCCACTGATAATGGATTCAACCTCTAGCCCCTGTCCCCTCCCAGAGGTCAGGATGGCATTAAAATTTCCAACCCTGTCTCACTAAGTTGGTGCCCCTGGCGACTGCCCCCATCCTCAAGGACTTTCCAAAACTCACCTTACTAACACAGTCTGGTGTCATCAGCAGAGGTCTGTTTTGAATATCAAGACACTTTTATGTTCTCATCACTTAGGAAATCCCAAGAGTTTTTGGAGCTCTGTGCCAGGAATAGGGAGGAAGACTAAATATATATTTATTATATATCACAATATCACATCTTCAAAATATTTCCAGTACTTCATTAGACATTTTTAAAAAGTGCACTGGAAAGCAGGCAAGCAAGAAAAATGGGCAGAGGGAAGATATTTGTGAATATACATATTTACACATTTATATATACATATACATATATCTGTAAATAAACAAGAGGTGGTGCTTACTTGAATCGATGATAGTAATGAGCCCTGAGCTGTGAAGTGTCATTAGCAACTCACTGTATGAACAGCAGAATATAAATAATAACTGAATATTGTACTATATACTTAAAATCTATTAAGAGTAAGCTCATGTGTTTTTTACCAAAATAAATAAAATTTAAATTTCTTCCTGGATTTTTTTAATTACTCAAACCTATTCTTCCTTAAATAAGTCAAATGACTACTGCCTTATCCCACAGAGCTCTTAAATCTAGAATAAAAAATAAATGGGCCAGTTTGCATCAGCTCAAGTAAATACTAGTATAATACTTTAATAAAGTGGCAAAAGTAAATTTTCTAGGAAATGAAATCCATTTCATCTTGATGTGTCAGGACCAAAAGTGACAAAGTAATTTGAACCACAGGACTGAAAATGGAGGTGGCGTATTCCTTGGCTCCTCATCTCAGCCCACTTGGATTGTTATAATACCATAGACTGGGCGGATTAAAAGCAACAGACATTTATTTTTCATAATTCTGGAGGCCCGTAGGACTTGCTTGGTGTTCCAGCATAGGACTCTGGGAAGAACGCTGGACCAGAACCTAAGGGTGTTTTACAATACCAAAGGAAGGCGAACCTGGGGTCTCGGCTCACCTCGAAGGAGTCTCCTGGTGGCGAGCTCTTTGCCCTGTCCAGACCCGAGACTGACGATTTCCAAGCCCAACCCATCATCTCACTCCGCTCCCCGCCCCCAACTCCTCTTCCTAAAGGTGTGGGGGGAACTCAGACGCTCCCAAAATTCTGGACGCCACGCCCTTGCCAAGACAACGAAAGAAAAACCGGGGGCACTCAGAAAAGCCACTTGCCAACGCGGGCGGGCTGAGAACAGCTGTGGCGTGGCCAGCCTCTCCGTCTCGGGACGGCTCCGCGCGGAGGCGCCTCGAGGTGAAGGTCGGCGCCCCGCAGAGTCGCTCCAGGCTGGCCTGGCGCTGGGGTCCAGCGCGAAGGGGCTCCCTGGACACAGAGAGAAGCGCGCAGAAGGGCAGCCGGGCTCGGAGTCTGCAGCAGCGCAACGGGGAAGGATAGACGGGCCCGCGGACAAAGGACTGCAAGGGAGCTGCAGAGTGGAGCTCCGTGGCGCAGGAGTGCCGCGGTGCCAGGACGCAAGCGGGTGGCTGCGGGTGGCTGCGGGCAGGCGCAGGTGGAGTGGAGGCTGAGGCCGGGTAGGGGAACTTTCCCTGCCGTGTCTGCCCCCTAGTACAGCGGAGGCAGGAGCCAAGTGAGCAGCCGCCTCCGCTATTTCCCCAAAAGGGCCCATGTGGATTGGTTCAAACTCAACCTCCTTCTCCCCTCACGACAAGGGCTTCCCTGGTGGCTCAGCTGGTGAAGAATCCGCCCGCAATGCGGGAGGCCTGGGTTCGATCCCTGGGTTGGGAAAATTCCCCTGGAAAGGCAAGGCTACCCACTCCAGTATTCTGGCCTAGAGAATTCCATGGACTCATGGGGTCGCAAAGAGTCGGACACGACTGAGCGACTTTCACTCTCACTCACTACAAACGTATCGGCTAAGGCGCCTCTGAGCTTTCCAATGCTTTCCCTTATTCCAGCACTTCGGCAGCGTCCTTCAATGTAGTGTCTGAGTTTGGAATTTCTTGTATTTTATGCACATTTGTGCCTTAATGTTTTCACCAGTATCTTTGGACATTATCCCGATTTTCTGACGCGCTGGTAACACAGGAATGCTGCTGCTTTGGGGAGGAAGTGAGGGTTTTGGACAAAACCACCATGGTGAGGCTGGGTGTCCACTGCGTATACCAAGGGTGAGGCTGGGTGTCCACTGCGTATACCAAGGGTGAGGCTGTCTGCCCCCAGCCACCTTTCCTTAACCTCCACTCCGCCCATCTCCCAGAACCCTTCTGAAACCCCTCAGCCCCCAACTTTCCTTCCCGAAAAACCCATCACTCCCATCCCTTCTGCCTGGCTCCCGGCCTCCTCCCGACACCTCTCCCCCGACAGCCTTCAACACCCGACTCTTCAGCCCTCCTCGCCCACCCCCAGCTCTCCCTTCCCAGATCCAGACTACATCTCCTGAAAATACCAACAATGTAAAATATATCAATAAAATATAGAAAATTTTTGCCATGAAATCTCAAGTCTTGTGTTTCCTGTATTTTCTTAATACTGCTGGGAGCTGCTGTATTGTTTCGACACACCTTACGACCTTGAAATTAACGTAGTTAGATAGGAAGTAGGAGAAAAACAGGGTGTATATATGGGGGAGGGGGTGGCGTTCCCCTGGAAGAACCATCAGAACCGTCCTTGAACTGCAGCTTGAACTGCAGCTTCGCACAGATTGTGGGGAGGGGGACTGGGAGCTTTCGATCCCACTGACCCCAGCCTTGCTTCTGATGCCTTCTGCACCCCCACGGCCCACCCGGGTGTGACTGTCTCAGCTCAGAAGTCGGTGGGCGAGCATGTCCTGCCTCTGTGTGTCTGCATGGGCGCTGAAGTGGAAATAGGTCCACCAGCTGTCCAACCGTTGCTGCTTCAGATTCCATTTCTCGGTCCGCTCTCACTTCTGCAGCTGTGATTTCCGTCCTTCACTCACACCTGGCTCTGGGATTAGACTGCAGCCCTACTCTTCAAATTTGCTGAAATAAAATGGGCACAGAAGTTGCTTGGCCAACACAGGTGTTTGGAAAAGACTTCAGGAAGCGACCCCAGTCATCTTGAAACAATGCGGGCCAGCAGCTCTGCCTTCTCACGTCCTAGGCGGGCGGGCAGTTTGATGGGCCCCAGATGCCAGCACTGCAGTGGGAAAGGCACAGGAGACTGAGACCCCCAACTCCGTGCCGTGCGGGGCATCCCTCGGTGGTAGCAGGATGGTTTTTGTCTGCGGGAAGCCGAGCGGCAGGACAAAGGCTGTCTAAGCCATCGTTTACTTCTTCGCAATCCCGCAAGCATTGCGTGAAGTTTACCATCTCTGTGCAAAGCTCCACAGCACACCCTGGGATTTCCACCACCTCCTTTCCTGCAGCAACTGTAGAGAATTAAAACTTTTCTTCAGATAACCTTTGTGTTGTCTTTTCTTTACCTGCAGGATGCTATCTCTGCAGAATCTGCCTCCCTCCCCACAGGCTCTGTGTTAGCAGCAAGTAACTAGCAATCTGGAGAGAAGCAACATTCTATTGAGGGAAGAGGAGAAAACAAAAACAGTGTCATTGCATTGTTTGAATTGTATGAAATGCTTGTGACAATTTTAAAATGATTTGGCTTCTTCTTGTGTGAGGAGACAGCTTACTGCATATTCACCTAGGAGGAAAGGATAGTTTCATTCATGCATCACAAAATCCGGGATGATAAAACTGTGCTCATTTCAAGCATGCAACCTTTTATTCAATATATTTATGCAATCTAGACACTGTACTCTAGAAATTATAAGTGGGAGGTGTTTATTTGGGAGGAGGCGTTCTTTGAGGGGAGAGGTTAAAAATTATCCAAACCCCCTTTTAAACTACTTTTACAGGCTATTCCCAAGCATTGTCTGTCCCTGGTGGTTAAGCTGGAGACCCTGTTTCTTTGCTTTTCTTTCTTTTTCTGTTTTTTCTTTGCCTTTCTCTCCCCTCTCTCTCTTTCCTCCCTTCAGTCATTTTTTTCACTCTTTTTCAAACAATTCATGAGCTTTTGTTTTCGTTTCTTTGGCTGTGCTGGGTCTCTTGCTGCAAGTGATTTTCTCTAGCTGCCACGGGCTGGGGAGCCACCCTTCAGTTGCAATGGTGGGCTTCCCATTGAGCAGGCTTCTCTTGTTGCAGAGCACAGGCTCTAACACCCAGGGATTTCAGCAGTGTGGTGCGTAGGCTTAACGGTTGAGGCTTGTGAGTTTAACAGTTGTGGTTCCCTGGCTCTAGAGCACATGCTCAATACTGTGGCACACGGGCTTTGTTACTCCTCGGCATGTGGGATCCTTCCAGATCAGGGGTCAAACCATGTCTCCTGAGTTGGCAGGCAGGCTCTTTACCACTGAGTCACCAGGGAAACCCTTTCTTTCCTTCCTTCCTTCCTTATTTCCGGAAAGCCTCGCACCTGCACTACAGGGTTCCATCTGTCAATACAAAATATTGCTCTTGATACTGAAGACTGTCCCTTGTCCATCTGGGCTGCTATGACAGAATACCACAAACTGGGGAGCTTAAACAACAGAGTATAGCACTCATAATTCTGGAAGCTGGGAATAGAGATCAGGGTGCCAGTGCGGGTGGGTTCTGGTGAGGACCTCTTCTAGATTGCAGGTGGCTGCCCTCTTTCTGGGTACTGACCTAGAACAGAGAAAGAAGAAGAGATGATTTTCTCTGCCAGATGCCTGGGATAAATTCTTTCGCTACTGAGTGTTCTGGACATATCCCCGAATATGCCACACTTGTCATACTGATTATTTGGGACTGAAATCAGCGGAGAAACAGCAAACACTGTGAGAAACTTTCTCTGAACTCCCCCAACTGCCTAAAAACAGTTCCTTCCAAATGAACTTAACTGTCATCAATTCCCTCCTGAGAGTTTCATCAGCAGAGGAAGACTGATTCATCAGAGAGAGGAGGCTAGACGTCAATGCCAGACCCAGACAGACTGTCACAAACTATCATATCTCCTGTCTAGTCTCCTAAGGGCCTGTTGTCTTTCCTAATATCATTTACTCTCGTCTATGAGAACTACTTCTCCCCTTCTCCTACTAAGGTGGTATATAAGCTCTCAAATCTCATTGCTTTTGGGGTTATTCACTTTTTTCCCCTGCAATAATAATTCACTTTTTCCATGCACATAGTATTTAAAAATGAATAAATTTGCATAACTTTTCTCCTGTTATTCTGCCTGTTATCAGTTTATTCATAAACATACCTACTGAACCCAAGAGGGTGGAAGGAAAGGTTTTTTCTCTGTAACATTACAAATGTATTAACAGTTTCAATAACTACCACCAGTGAGTCTTAACTGAGACAGAAAGACCTGCTCAGAACACTGAGTTTTAAGAACAAAAGATAGCTTTCATTCTGAGAAATCTATACCAACTAGATCTACAGGCAAAACAAAAGAGATTTTTGTTTGAGTGTACTGCCGGTGCAAGACTAAGCTTCAGTCCTTTTCCAAGGGTGAGACGAATCATTTATATACATTGGTCATTAAATCTCTGGTATAAAAAAAATAATGGTAAAACAGTTTGAATAAGTGATCTAGAAGCAAGCATTTGTCTATTTTATAAATGTGTCTTGTATTCAAAAACTATTTTTAAAAAGTTGAATTGGATTGGGAATGTGAATTTGAGTGAAATTTCATCTGCAGTTCTTTCAGCTTTCTACTGCAGTAGAAATTTTAAGATATCTTATTGGTGTTTTTCCCTGGAAATATAAACACAGGGCAATGCATTTTAATATTTTTCCTACATATATGTATTATTTCCTCTTCAATATGATACATATGTATATATAATACATATATATATATATATCTCATGTGTATTATTTCCTCTTCAAAATGAAATTCCACATCCAAAGCCAAAACAACCTAGGTGTGGTTAGCACAAGGCTTGGTACCGCTGACCTAATTTCCAGGGCTAGTTATCTCATCAGCTGTTTCACTTGAGAAGTGTTCTTTTTTCTGCCTTTTGCTGTCCCATCTGCAAAATGGAGTTAATAATAGTGCATATGTGGAAAGGATGTTATGAGCACTAAGTTGAATTAAGTATTCATTAAGTGGATTCCTTGGTGGCTCAGACAGTAAAGAATCTGCCTGCAATGTGGGAGACACAGGAGATGCAGGTTCCATCCCTGGGTTGGAAGACCCCCTGGAGAAGGGAATGGCTACCCACTCCAGTACTCTTGCCTGGAGAAATCCATGGACAGAGGAGCCTGGTGGGCTATAGTCCATGGGGTTGCAAAGAGTCAGACAGGACTGAGCAACACTTTCATTTTCACTACCACTTGATAACAATGAGCTCTCTAGAAATGTTTAAGTAAACTATAGATTTCTTAAATAAACAGACAAAATAGTTAATACTGAGCACATCCAAAGCAGCTCAGCTCACAGACTTATTCATTCAACAAACACTGGTTAAATCTCCACTATGTGCCAAGCTCCATGTTCCACCTTGGAGATTTAGAAGTGAAGGACACATCTCTTGCCCAGGAGTTTACAGCTTAGTCCATGCTCTAGCAGACAGGAGAAAGGCTTATGCTCCATATTTAGGTGATGTAGTTCCCCTGGCACAGAGGGAGCTCAGCTGAGGCACGCATCTCTGGCTGTGGCTGGATCTCTTCTGAGAAGGACAGAATGAAATGGAACCAACAGCACTTGAGCACTAAATATATAACCACATCCTGCCATCTGCCTGACACACATTCACTCACAGCAATCCCATTAAGTAGGCCTCCATAGCCTCACTTCACAGATGAGGAAGTAGAGAGGCAGAGACGGTAAATTATTAGCCCCAGACAGGGAGCTAAGCACAGGCTATCTGAAGAATGGCCCCCTGGCATCTCTCCTCCACTTTCTTAATACCCAAACTTTCTAAGACAAATATTATCCCATTTGGGTTTCTTCAAACTCATATCTTGAAAGTACCTTGCTAACTGCTCTAAACTCAGTGAGTCACTCTGTCTTTTATGGGTGCTGTTAAGCTTCTTCGTCTGTTTGGATAATGCACCGAAGGGCTAAAGTTGCCCGGTAAATGACCTCCACACCAGCGCTGGGAAACTGATGTGCGTAGGAATCTGCTTAAAATGCAGATTCAGGCTCAGTACACTTCAGGTGGGGCCCAAGCATGTGCGTTTCTAACGGTGTTCTCCAGGCATTATGTGACACAACTGAGAAATGTGAATTCATAGGCCCTTCTGTTTCTATCTTGGAAGTCA